CCGGCCGGGGCCCGGAGCCCGGAGCCCGGGGAGGCCGGCCCTGGCCTCGGGCGTGCTCTGCCGCCCTGCCGGACCCGTGGGCAGCGCCCTCCCGGCGCTTTGCGTTCCTTGGGTTTGCGCCGCTGCGTTATCTGGGGACCTGGCTTGGTTCACAGCACACACGTACATATGTATATATATATGTCCACAGACATCCATGCGCACATACGTGCACACAGATATATCTATATATCATATGCACACATATTTGCACACACACATGCACACACACAGAGACATATGTACACACATACATGCATGTATATATTTGCACACACGCGCACACACACAGACATATGTACACACATACATGCACATTGGCAATGCATAGGGGTGCACGCAGGTGTATGTGCAGCCCCTGAGAAAAGCGCCACCGACACTGCTGGCAGCACCTGTGGGTGGTCGCTCCCGGCCACTGGCTTCGCCATCAGCAGTGTCTGCGGCCACCTGTAGGAGCTCCCTGCTCGACCCACCTCTGCCGCCATCGGTGCAGCTGCCTGCAGGAGCTCCCCCCTCACCACCACCATGCCCCCAGCGCCACTGTCATCACTGCCTGTCGGCAGTTGCTATGCCCCCCCAGCCTCTGGGGGGCATGCATTATTCATGTACATGGCTACACACATATGTACATGTACATGCACGCAGGATTTGAATGACACTTTGACTCTTGGGGGGGTCTGCAAAATAATTGGGCTGCCCTGCCCATCACAATGCCCTAATAAAATTGGAGTCCACACCAGGTTATGGTTTTCAAACCTTGGGGGGGGGGAGGGGGCTCTTGTCTCTTATGTGGGGAGCTCAGCCCCCACCCCCAAGCTCCTCCATAATTCAAACCCTACATGCACATACATACATGCATACATGTACACATACCCGCACACCCACATACATGCATACATAGATACGCACACACATACATACATACACACCTGCAAGCATGAAACAGGCAGTTGCAAAAGACAGTTCCGTGCAGTACTTTCATGCAATGCTGCTGCTCTTAGACGGTCAGAGGTGGTGTCTTTCTGAGCATTTCTTCCTGGTTAAACCACAGACTCTTCAGCCTTTTGCAGAAGTTAGGAGCTGGGGAACCACTCGCAAGTGACTTGAGACGCTGTCTTCCTCCAGCAGCTCAAGCAGACAGCGAGCGGGAAGCAGTGTTGTCTAACAGCGCTCTGTATTTTTGCTAGTTCCCTTAGGAAGATGTATTTTGTTCTAAGCACCTCAGCATCCCCCTGGGTTGTCTCAGAAACAAAGTGTCAAAAGCTGGAAGCACACATTTGATTCCAGCACTGTGCTGAAATCCCTGCTCCCAATAAAACATGTTATCCCAGAAGAACTTGGCTGCTTTCCTTTGCTTGGCTGCATTCAGTGCTGGTAGGAGTCTCTTGTATTTACCATGAGAATAAGTTTCTGATCTCCTGCACAAATCAGCAAGATAGAGCCCACACACTGGTTACAGACTAAAGTTTGTAATGCCTTTGTTCCTGCAAAGACTTAGCCATATGCTTAACAGCTAAGGGCTCGAGTCAAGTGAGGCTGCTTACGAACTCTACCTGTGGCTTCTGTATACAGTTTTGCAGGATCAGGACAAAGGCCTGAGGGCTCAGAGATCCCATATGTGTGTGGCCCCAGTAACTTCCATGGTACGGGTTTGTAGGGTCAGACAAACCAATAGTTTAGACCCACTCCCATTGGCAGGCTTTTCATTGCTTTCGGGGACTGGCTCTACAACCCTACAGTCCTTATCCTGACGGAGCCCTCCCCTACTTCTGCGGGGTCACGGACTGATTGGAGGCTATCGGATTTGGACCTGAAATGACCCAGCAAACTGATCATGCAAGTCAACTGCAGACTTTGGTTTTAGCACGGCCCTGTAGAGCTCTACTCTTGGCCACAAGACGGGTGTCACAGAGTAGACTTTGGCCAAGCTAATAAGAACTAGCTGTAAAACATGTCGTCTTTCACATACCCACAAAGTACTCATGCCATTAGTAATGACTATTGATTATTATTATTACTACCATATTAGTAGTGCGTTTCAACAAGTCAATGATTGAAAAGTAATTTGTTTTTAACAAATACCTTTCATTCTCTGTGTCACTTTATCCATCACTTCCCACCATTAAACGTGGCCAGGCACAAGCAATAACCCAAGAGCTATTCTCCAATTCAGAAAGGAGAGAGGGGTGCCTTCACTAGATCTCTGGAACTACCTATGAGGACAGAGGCTGTAACAGACCTCCTGGTGGGGAGGTGAGCAAGCTTCCCTTGTATGGGAAGAAGGCTGCATTTGTTGCGCTCATGTCCTTGTCAACCATGGGTGGCGTGGAGGACTGGGATTGAGAGCATTTCACCTCTCAGCCTTTGGGCTTGTAGTGAATGACACCAAACTTTGTTGGCCTCTCTAGAATGAGCTGATGTGCTCACTCTATTTCCTTCCTGAGACATGGTCTTCCTACAAACAACAACTGGCTGTTGCAGAGCAGAGGATGAGGAGTATATGTGCACAGAGTCTGGTTCCCATCAAAATGAGTCAAGTTGCAATTTGTGAAGCCCCAGGCATACAAGGGACACAATCTAAAACCCCTGATGACCAGGAGGTAAGTTCTCAGGGTCAACGCTGGTAGGAATTGTGGAGATGGCTGCACCGCTGGCTAGGGCAGGGCCAGGCAGTTATTTTGGGTGGAGGGCCGCTTACTGAGTTTTGGCAAGCCATCGAGGGCCACATGACAGGCAGCCAGGGGCAGATAAATATTAATTTTCTAAATTTTTTAGGGGCCCCATGGGCCAGATAGAATGGCCTGGCGGGCCGCATCTAGCCCACAGACCACATTTTGCCTACCTCTGGGCTAGGGCATGACCCCACACGTGCTCTGTGCACTGAAGGCAAGTGAAATTTAGGCAGTCTTGGGCTCTTGACCATGAGGTAAACCACTCCTCTGTGTCTCAATTTGGGCATCCTCCATTGAGGATAAGGGGTATGTGTGTTTGGGGAGGAGGAGTTGGGAGGGAGCTGTGATATTTAATTAGGATTAAGGTAGGCTCTGGTTCCAAAACAAGAATGTCCATACTTAACAGTGCTTCAGGCATAGCTTTTCACATTGTTTCCATTGATGAACAAGCCCTAAGTAATCATTAAAGTGCTTTGAAAGGAGTTACAGCACTACAAATCACTATTACATGGGAATGTCACTGCAAGCATGCCAAAGGCTACAAGTTTGTCTTAAAGTAAATTCTCTTACACTTTCTGGGTGCTATCACATTCAGTTAAAGGCCTCCAGAAAAAAAGAAAAGAATAAAGCCCATGTTTTTATCCACCAATACGCTTCTGCACGTGGATGTGTGAAAATCCACCCACATATTTGCAGTATAGATCATTCTTTTTGACTTACAGAGCAACCAGTATGAAAAGCTATACCAGAGACATTGCTACCATTCTATGTCTAATGCAAGCCCAGGCCTTTGAATGATAATTAGGAATCTGCTGAGCTGTAGGACATGCCCATTTCATTCTGCACTGTATTGACCTTGGCAAGCAACCTTCTTTCAAGTATGCAGTGCCACACTGACAAATCACATGTCCGTAATATACACCCCTCTTTGGCTACCAGGCATTTTCAGAGTCACAACAGAGGTCAGTACCTTTGAGAACAAGCTCTTTGGTTAATGAACACATGAAAGTATGCCATCTGCTGTATATTGGTTGATCTCCCCCCAGCTGCGACACCTTACATGACAACCCAGGGGTTATTCTCTACAGTGAAGGAGATCCAGAGGTGGATTTCTGGGATCTGTAAGCAATACTGTTTACAACCCACTGTTAAGAAAGAGAGCCAGCCACCATTTGTGAAGTTTCCCCCTCTTGCTGGGGGAGGGTGTTGGATGGAGTGTAACATTACTGCTACCCCAGGAGTCGGGTTGTCAAGGTCAAATTCTGAGCGTTCACACAGCAGAGGAGATGAAAGGAAGGATTTAGACTCCAGGTAAGATATCACTGCCAAATTCCTGCTGATTTATATAAAGCTAGTCCTGCAGGCTGGTGGGGAGTAAAGGATGCTGCAGAAAGCAGCGCTTCCCCTCTTGGTAGCCATATCACTGCACGGCTCCTAACCACCCATCTCCCTGCAGAAGCCCAGCAGCTTCCAGTGCTTTCCTTTCAGCTCAGGTGGGGGAAATATCACCATTTCAGCAAACAAACCTCAGGAGCACCCCAAAAAGCACACTGTACCCCTGGCTTTTCAGGACCTTCCTTGGGCCTTTTATAAGCAGCAAGTAACACTGTAGTTTGTTTCAGTTGCATTCTGCTGCAATACTGCATCCCCATCAGCTCTTTTTGCAGGGTTGGGGCTATCTGCTTGCTTAGGAATGTAATAGACCTTTTGTTCTTGCTTTGTACTTAGGCAAATGAGCAGCTGCGCCTACTGCTCTGTGAATAGCCTCCTCTACCTCCACGGCCCTGCAGTAAACCAATCAGATTTTTCCAGTGGCTCGCATACTCTGATGTTAGTTCAGTTGCTAGTGAGGAGTAGATCCAAAACCCTGCTGCAGAAATGATCAAGCTGGTGTATGGAACCTGACGCGCTTGCCCATGTGACAGGACCGGTAATTTCCACTCAGGGGAGCATGAGTTCCAAGCTGTGATAAATCGACAGCTGTGTTTACTGTCCATTTCAAATTGAGGTTTCAGATTATAACGGTAAGCAGTTCATTTTGAGGAAGCCCAGCCACGGATACTTTGCCTCTTCTGATTCAATGAAATTATTGGTCCTTAAATTGATAGTTTATGGAACATTCTTCTCAGTGGCAGAAAAGCTGCTAGGCTGGTCTTCTGACTTTATTTTAGGAAATCGTTTAAGGGCTGTTTTCTGTTTGTGTGTGTGCGTGTGTATTTTAGTGAGGAGGGTGTGGCGGGTGCAGAGATCCCACCTCAGGAACACAGCTGGGTATTCGTATCCCTCTGCTGTTTCCAGCACGTGAGGTGGGCCAGTAGGGGGTGCTCCTGCGTTGAGCCACCCACCTCCCTGCGCCCGACCACCTTCCAGGCTCTGAATGCCTCCCTAGGGGCGCCTTATGTCTGGCCGACCCCTCTCCTGGAGCACACTCGCTAGTCTGGGGGTAACGTGCCGCCACCACCCCGAGAGTAGACTGTCTCGGCCCTGTATCCT